ATACTCCAGACTAACGACTGTTTGATATACGAAAACTGACTTCCACTGTCGAGGAGAATTCTAACCCTTCTAGAGGCATTTGGGCCTCTTAACAGTGCTACCGTGGTCATCAGCAAGACCTGACCTGTGCAGGCTTGACTAGAAAGCGATGCAATGGGTTCAGGTGCATTTTCCTTTAGATTTTCTCTTCCTGGTTTCGTTAACTGGTTAGAAGAATTTCCTTCACATAAAACTTCCAAGTGGTTTCGCCCACAGTTTTTGCACTCCAATTGTTCTCGGCACTGACTCTGTATGTGTCCCTTTCTTAAGCATTTGAAACATAGATGGGCACTACGTATTTTATCATTTCTCTCTCCCGGAGACATTTTCATTATGGAGCGGCATTGATGACTCGCATGATTTGTTCTTTCACAAAAGAAGCATTTTATATTAGTTCGCCCTCCGAACAGACTAGACACAGTGGCGGGTCTGAAATTGCTCCTTGTTCTAGTCCCATCATTGTAAGACCTTTTATAGGGTTCCTCCTGCTTAAAGCCTTTTTCCACAAATTTCAGCCGTTGAGCACTCCTTACTTCGGCTTTTAGAAAGTCCAATAATAACCTTAGCCTTTCTTGAGCTCCTCCAACCCCTTTATCTGACTCTTCCCGTTTTGCTAACTCTAGACCATAACCCGAAGAAGGATGCCTGTGCCATATTTTCAAAATATCCGAAGGTAATGAAGACTCGACAAGAGGGTATAAAAAAATACCCGACAACTGGGGATCAATGCCCAATGTCTCTAACGACCGGAGGTGACTGCTCAGTTCGTGGTACAGACTGCTTAAATTTCTATTTTCTTTCTTTACATTAGATATAACCGAATTCAATAGACGTCTGGCATACAGTTCTGTCAGTATATTCGGGTCACCGAATCGCTCCTGTAGGGCTTGTACTGCCAAAACATAGTTGGCGCCTGTAACTGGATAGCTTGCTACAACACGATAGGCTTCTGAATTTGGTACAATTGCTTGACGCAAATATAAAAAACGGTCGCTATCGGATAAATTCTTATTTTCGTGAATTTTCGAAAACTGCGCCCACCAAGGCAACCAACCTTCCAGAGAGCCATCATAGGTTTTTAGGGCTAACTCTGGTAATTTCACATTTATTACAGTGTCCTCGCTAGCAATCGGGATTGTTTCTTCTTTATCAGGATTCCGTAGTACACTGACTTTCTGTTGAATATCAAACTTTTCCTCTTCATATTTATCGCATTCTTGCCATTCCCTATCAATACTTTCCTCTGTAATCCCTTCTTTCACTACCAATAAAGCCTGATATTTTTCGTTTAGATCTACAAGTTTCGTGTAATAAGACTCTAGTCTATTAAACTTAGAATAAATATCATTCCTATCAATTTGAGACTTTTCAAATTCCCCATTTATTTCATTAATAATTCTAGTGAAAGTACCTCTTATGGCTTTTCTGCGCTTTTTAATTGCATCCATTTCCTCCATATCTCCTTTAAATCGATCACGTACGGCTCACCAAAATGTTCGTGTTCGTTTAAAAAACAAAAAAGGGTGATCGATTGAAAGGAAAAACAATGGGAGAAATAAATGCACATAAAACACAGTATAACAAAAGGTTTTTATTTAAAAATTAAAACAAAAAGGGCTAAAAACTATTATATACTTATATGTAAAGAATCAAGCATAAAAAACAAGAAACAAGGTTAAGCAAAATTATACTTATATATAAAGAATTATGCATAAAAAACAAGATAAAAAAGGTTAAGCAAAAAAGTAAAGTAAAATTAAAGTAGTCTTAGGGAAGGGAGATAAAAAATAAGTGTCAGGGGGAATGTCCAGCGTTGTGTTCACACAGTACCTCGGGTGCAGCACCGTCGCTGGCTTAGCTTGGTTCCACTTTGTCGCGGCTCGTGCGATGTCCAAAGCGTCCTTTCCGTGTCCTTTCCGTCCACGAGACTCTGCTTGTGGGATACTCCAAGACGTCCTTTCCTTCCACAAGACGCTGCTTGTGGGATACTCCAAGACGTTCTTTCCGTCCACAAGACGCTGCTTGTAGGATACTTCTCGGACGTCTTTCCGTCCACAAGACGCTGCTTGTGGGATACTCCTCAGGCGCGTCTTCCCCGCCTGGTCCGCTGCTTCTAACTAACTAAGAGAAAAAAAAAGAAGACGCCACATGGCGGGCTGTCCCGGGCCTGCAGAACAACCAAACAAATTCCAGACATCCACTTGACTTTTGCCTCCCCGGGCCATCTGGTGACCTTTGCCCTCGGTCGGTTCCAGCTGGGAGTTTCCCCGACCATGTCGATATCTTGCTCGTCTCCCTTCACCTAAGTCCTTCATTCTATGTACAAAGTAAAAGAACGGTAAAATAGTTTTAACAAACCTATCATCTAATGATTTCTATTATTATTCAGTATTAATGTAAGGAAATTGGCCAATTAAGGGAATTAAAACAAAGTGACCACTATTAAGAGGAAGCCTCTTCCAGTGTGTATAGCTGTCCTTTAATTATACGGTCTAAACATTTTGAAAAGTAAAAAAAAATGGCCCAACCGTGGCTATAGTGAACCGTGGCTATAGTGAACCAAAAGCTCTGTCCCATTGGGGTTCACTATAGAGGGGTTTTACTGTGTATTATGTGTGTTAATATCGTTTTTATGGATGCTAGAAATAATATATTTTTGGGCTTTAGCATCTTTTATTATTTATACGTTTTTCTTTTACATCCTTTTGATCTTTAAAAGACAATTTACCATTTATTATTTCAATTAAATTATTAGCTTTAAAAATAATGTCAATTTGAAATTTCCAAATATTAAAATTTTCTGAGTCTCTCTTTCAATTTATCTATAATCGAAACTAGCCGAATGACCCGGGCAACG